GTAGTTTTTCTTCTCCCCATTTTTTTCCCATATAATGAAGATCTAATTTTTATTTTCATTGTGTCAATGACACATTATTTTCATAAGTGTCATTGAGGCTAATGCTCTGTTTTCAGTAGGTTTCCCAAAAAGACGTGTCCTCAGTCATTTTCTAAAGCATGAGCTGGTATAGACAATTGGATTTCATGGACAGTAGGAACACTGCTCTGCACCCTTCTGATAAGGAAGATGTGAAGTACAGCACACTCAGTTACAAAATGGAGCAGCAACCGTGCTTACATTAGAACTCAACTTGATGTTAATGGAGTTTGCGAAATGATTGGAAAGCCTAGTCAAGAGCTGAGGAGACCTCTTCCAAAGAAACACTTTGAAGTTCTCGCCCTAAGTGATCTCTGTTTGCAGGTCTTGCAGGGAGAGTAGAAACTCCCTTTGAAAGAGAGAAGGTCTGTGGTTATGAGGGTAGCATGTAACATCTAGGACACTTTTATTCCCAGGTGTGCTCCAATGTCGGGAAGATGATTATTTATTTATTTTATTTCATTTCATTTCATTTTCTTTATTTATTAAATTTTTCAACTGCCCATCTCCCCCCAATGGGGGAACTATAGGCAATTCACAACAAACGTTAAAAACATAAATATAAATACATAAAACATTAATTAAAAACATTACTAAAAAGGAGAAGGAGAGTATATATTATCCTTGTATGGGTATGGAATTAACTTAGAGTTGAACGCTTAGTATCTGCTAACTGAAGTGTGGTATCAAGGCTAGCTACATGCCTTACTATGCACTATTTCCTAATTCTACTTTCTTGGAGTGGACATGATTCTTACTGTCAACCTTTCATTACATACAAACTCAAACCTACTTCTGCTCCCTTAGGAAATTAGTTTCTAAACTTTTCTAGAATGGCTCTCTGCTACCCTATATCTCTAGGACTTCAATACAGCCAAATATGATCCTCACACAAAGACCTCTGTACTTGAAGCAATAGTTACCTCTGTATGTTCACATGGGATACCCAGCTTCTTAATAATCAATCCAAAAAAGGGAGATTAAGAAAAGAAGTGATGTCAATCCTTTTAAGCTGACAGTGAAACTGGGGACAGGGTGAAAGAGTGAGTTCCTCTTGGCAAAGACGATTCTTTGTATCAGAGAACTGTGTACAGTGTTCACTATAGTTAAAGATGTGGAAGGAGGAAGAAACAGAATAGAAGCATTTGAAAGAGAAAGAAGGGGAAGCCAGAGGAGGAGGAGGAGGAGGAAGAGGAGTTGGGGAAAGGGAAGGATAGACAGTGATAACTGGGACAGAAGGAAGAGCAAGGAATGAGAATTCTTTCAGATATAGACATATTTCCTTAAACAGATTTCCATACATTGGAACTCTGAAAATAAAGAGGGATATTTCTCCTTGGATGGAGACCACTGGAGATTCTCAAGTTGCATCCTTCATTGCCAAGCTGAGAAAAATCTCAGAGGAAGGAAATGGCAAACCACTTCCTTAGTATTGCCTAAAAACCTGTGTGATTGTGTCTCTGAAGTCACCAAGAGTTAACTTCACCTATGACATTCACCTCACGTTTATACAGTTTCCAGCTGGATTTATGCAAAATCACCCTCACTTTCACTTCTTATTTAAACCCTCAAAGCTTCCCACCTCACCCAGACAGATAGGTTACTGTCACAGAAGCCCTCAGAGACCCAGCCATTCCACCACTATGAAGTCCTTCTTTCCAGTTCTCCTCATGCTGGCTGTCTTCTCCTCCCGTGCGTTCGTTTTGCCATTTCCCTCCCTTTTTTTCTTTAGATTCTTTAATTCAAGTGAAGCTGTAGTTTTTAACAATGGATGTAATTTCCTAACTCTGATCTAATTCTGTTTTCCTTCTGTTTAGGAGGCCTCTCCCAAGTAGTCCTGACCCAGTCAGATCCAGTCCTGAAGAAACCGGGAGAAGCCCATAAACTGACTGGTGCTGTGACTGGATTCAATGTCAACAGCTACACTATGGCTTGGATCAGACAGAAACCTGGGGAAGGCCTGGAATGGCTTGTAAGCTATTACAGCTCTGGTAGCAACTATTATTCCCCAACCATCCAAGGACGATTTACTGCCTCC